GGCAAATGTATTGTTAGCTACACAAAAGGATTAAATTGGCAGTTACTTGAATGAAAGCTGTAGGCCTATCTGCTTTTATTAATCTGTGGGGTATAGCTCCAAAGTACAAGAAAAAATGTTTTTAGTATTTTCTTAAGTTCAATAACCTTATAGTTATAGAAATGTAATATTTGGCTCAAGTTTTGCTGTTGGAAAAAACACCACAAAATAATTTCAACTAATGCTTGAAATCAAATGTGTATGCAGTAATGCTTCTCCTTAGCCCCAAGTGCCAAGCTTTGTGAATGTTGAGATCTATTTTACTGTATCTGAATGATTATTTTTAACAGACTTTCTCCTTTGTTGATTCACAGGAATGTGTTACACAACTGAATATGAGGGAACTACTATCAGTTGGCATGGATGGCCCCAGTGTGAATTTCAAGTTGGTGGATCTTCTCCAGAAAGAGCATGCAGAGCTCTACGGAGGTGCTCAGGTTGTCACTGTTGGAAGCTGTGGACTTCACACCCTCCACAATGCTTTAAAGGCAGGCTTTACTATGTGGCAGTTGGAAATCCTCTGCGAGCCATGCACTTCCTTTTTCATAATGTTCCTGCCATGAGGGAAGACTTCACTAGCCTGACAGACCTGTTAAGGTTCTGCCAGAGCCTTTTACTGCTGTAGTGTGGACAAGCCACCATGGAGAGAGAGGTTTCTCCATAAACAAGGAGGTGGAAGCATGTAACCTTCTAAGTGAATCCTTGGAAGCACTGAGGTTAATATGTGACAGTGTCAGTAGCTGTGGTGGTGTCCTCAAGGTGCCTTTAACCAAGGACCTGCTGGCCTCTGTGGCCTCAGCAAGGTCCCCGTACAGGCTATACCTTGAGCAAGAACGCAAAAAGAGGGAGAGTGCTGCTCAGACACTGAAGAGGAAGGCCGCAGAGGAAGAACTAGTGGAGCTTAGACAGCAACGCAGAGTCCTGGACGATGTCTGTGCCATGCTTGAAAATGATGCCAACAAGTTGGCCGAGGAGGCAGAGGGAAAGGCTGGGTCAAAAATGGCCCAGCTTATCACTAAATCCAACACACTCAGAAGGAGATACAAAGAGAAAAAAGAGGAACTGGATAAAATGGACAAAACTATTGAAGAAAAGGCCATGCAATTAAGACACTTGCCATAAGATTCTTTTGCTCACGAGTTCATATTAGGCCTATAGCACAGGTTTATGTTAAAATCAAATAATAGCAGTTCACCAGTTCATATAGCAGATACCAGTTTGTAGCAGTGAATGCCAGCCACTGGAACAGTTCTCTTCATTGCACATTTTATGTAGTTTTGTTTTATTTTTATTCACGAAGTGAAAAAAATGTGTGCAATATGTGGTCAACATCAGTGAGTCTCTAAATCTATTCTGTTGCGTATAGTGTTATATATGTCAAAATCTGCTTCAACGTTAATAAGGTCGCTGATTAACACTTGAAACTCAGTGTCATGATGGTTTAAAAAAAAATCCGAAGGTAGTAAAAAAAGGTATTAAATTTAACTTGAGGATTGCTGTATATACCCTGGTTTTGTGTCAGAGACGGTAATACTGTTTTTATGTTTCCCATACACTGATTTATTTGTGGTGGGCCACTACAATATCAACATTGACCACCACATTGATTTAAAATAAATGAAATCTTATTTTAATATAGTGCCATGC